GATGAGGAGGATGAAGAAGAGGATGATGATGAATAAGTTGGTTCTAGCGCAGTTTTTTTTTTTTTTCTTGTCTATAAAGCATTTAACCCCCCTGTACACAACTCACTCCTTTTGAAGAAAAAAAAAAAAATTGAAATGTAAAAAAAAAAAAAATAAATAAAAGGGCATAATCTGTGAAGAAATGCTTCTTTAGAAGTTTGATTGATCTTCGAGGTGAACCACTGTCAAAAAATTAGACTTGAACCAGGGTTATTTTGTATGTCTAGAGGACTCACTCATGTTTTACCTCTAACCCTTTATAGCTCTTTATCTAATCTGCTGGGGTAGAGTATACATCCCTAGGATATATATATTCTGTTGCTTTTTCTAAGAACCATTCAACTCATGGAATAAAAAGCATAGGTGCCAAGGTTGGTTATCTAAGCAAGATAGACTAAAGGAAGATAACATCTTAGGAAGGAAATGTTGCCTTTGCAATTGTCTTAGCCCATTCTGAGCCACTCCTTACCTGCTAACAATGTTGTATGCTTTTGTTTTTAGGTTTTTGACAACTATGCAGTCACAGTAATGATTGGTGGAGAGCCATACACTCTTGGGCTTTTTGATACTGCAGGTGAAAACTTAAATGTCTTTATAATTTTTGATCTGTAATAGTTGGTGATTTTGTGTGTCTTTTTTTATTTTTGGAAATTAGCGAACCATTTACCTTTTGTTAGTAGTTTCAGAAGCTTAAATAAATAATGGTTGATGCATGAACAAGGAACAGTCCCAAACGTAGGATGGCTACTAAGTGGATTATTATCCACTGGTTGGATTGGGGCGATAGTTCAGTGACGCCTGCCTAGGAAGTACAAGGTCCTGACTTTGATCCCTGGTATAATAAAATAAAATAAAATAAAATAAAATAAAATAAAATAAAATACCTTGAGTGGGTGGTATAGTAGAAGACAGTGAGGGCAAAATTTATTAGACATGCTATAATTGACATGTCCACCTTATAGTGACTTGTGCGCTATGTTAGTGGCTGGGGAGAGACTAAGCAAATGAATTCAAAGGAAAATCGCCTGCTGTCTTCCTTTACCCTGGCTTTCTCCTTTCTCAAAGCCCAAATTTCTTAAATATGCCCAAAGTATAAGCTTGTAAGCCATGTGTGGTATTGTTTATTATGCTTATTTGGAGGCTTATGCAGTTTATATTTTGTCTGTGCAGTACATGTGTAGAGAGCTTCTTAAGCTAAGTAGCATGTTACTTATGTGTGAAAGTATTTTGAGAGTGAACTAGTATCTAGCTTAACAGTATTGAAATTTTTGTTACTCAAATTATTAGAACAAGTTCCTTTTGTCCTTAAATGTACTTAAAAGCAATATTTTCTATTTGTTTTTAACAGAGACTACACATTTTAATTTCTACTTTCTCTGTCTGTAGTCTCTTTTATCAGTTCAGTTAGCCAAAAGAAGATCCTAGAGGGGTATTTTTTTAAAATGTGGGAATTCTAAACTTTCTTCTTTTTATGAGTTACTCTGTCCTTGTCTGCCAGCTGACACGTTGTTCTAATGGAGTGCTGCATTATATTGTCCACTTTGAAGAACTGTGAGTTTACAGTTCTGGATTTAGGATGCTGAAATGGAGTGATAATAGTAAACAGTTTAGAGAAACTTCTAATGAGTTAAACATTATAAAAGTAATAAAGTTGGGAAATAGAGAAAATAACTCCATTTCTGTTGCTCAGGCTAGCCTGAAACCGAGGGTAGTCCTTCTGTATTCCATTCTGTGAGCATATCATTTATAAGTGGATGGATGTTTGGGTTCCAGTTTTGAGCTTTTATGAATAGTGGTCCACAAGCTTCTTCCATGTTTTAGCTCTTGTGAATAATAGTGCTATGAGCATGGGTTTACAGGTATGTTGTACCTCTTTGATGCTGGCACACACTTAAAATGCCAGCACCGGGAATTCTGAGGCAGAAGGACTGCCTAGTGAGCTCAAGGCCAGTCAGAACTACATAGCTCGTGTCTCAAAAAGCAGCCAGACAGGCAGGCAGGCAAGCAAGCAGATAAACAAATGTCTTGTTAAGCCTCTGCTTTCTGTTCTTTTAGGCATATATACCCAGAAATGGAGTTGTTTAATGCCTAAGTAGTAAGGAAAATTGTAGTAATTTAATGCTTAAGTTTTTGAGGACCATTTTCCACAGTGGCTGTTTGCATTCCTACCAACAGTGCACAAAGGCTCAATTTCTCCACTTCTTTTTTAATACTTTTTTTTTTTTTTTTTGGCGGAACTTGGGATTGAACTCAGGCCCTTGCACTTGCCAGGCAAGTGCTTATTCTACTGAACTATCTCCCTGGCCCAGTACTTTGTTTTTTGATAGTAGCCATTCTAGTAAGTATGACCTGGCATCCTATTGAAGTGTTTTTTTTTTCTTCCCCCCCCCCCCCCTTTTGAGATGATCTGTGTTGTCCAGATTAGCCTTGAACTCCTGTGTTTAAGCAGTCTTGTGCTTCAGCCTCCCACGTAACTGAATTTACCAGGTGGGTGCTACCATGGCTGGCCCTGATGCTGCTTTTGGTGCATAAAATTTAATGTTCACAAAGTCTAATTTGCATTGTTTTTCTTTGGATGCCTTTTTTAAAAAAAAATTATGTGTGTGTGTGTGTGTGTGTGTGTGGCCAGCTCAGCCCACCAGGGGGCGGGGCTGGCTGGCATGTGGTGCTGGGGGATCCAACGGCGGTCCCTGTG